CACTCCGCCTGGACACTGCTGGGATCCCGCCCAGCCATAGCGGGGTCTGCTCCACCCCGTCTCTGGCCAGAGTTAGGCCTCACACCTTGGTCCAGAGAAGGCTCCGGGGCTTGCGAGGAGGTGCCCCAAGGCAGGAGCAGCGGGAACGTCATGTGAGCCGAAGGGAATGCATGCTAGAGCAGGCAGGAGCGGTGCACTGTTAACCTGTGGGACTGGCTGCCGCAGGGCAGGAGAGTGGGGATTGACTTCGATGCTTCCAAAAAGAGCACAGGCGAAAAGCGAGGGGGAGAGATGGACCCGGGCCTGGCCTGGCTCCCTGCTTGGCTCCAGGGTTGGGAGCAGAGTGGGCGGGAGAGGAGCTCGGCACCTTGGCTGGCGGGGCGGCCCCCCGGTGAATTTCTAGCTGTGCCCGTCCATCCAGGGCGTTAGTATCCCAGCCCCCTGTGGGAATCCAGGCCAAGGTCCTGTCGGGCCCCCGCTGCCCACGGATGCAGAGGGGGCGCACGGCGACCCCAGGGTGCAGCCGACTCACCCTGCAGGCTGTTCCCGTTGGTGCTGGTGCAGGTGGGGGTGGGGGAGGTGGGCGGCCGCACCACGGGGGCGAAGGCGCTCTTCTGCTTGACGGCGGAGATCATGTTGACCGGGGAGAAGGAGAAGACGCCGGCGGGGGTGGAGGAGCTGGCGCCGGACGGGAGGGTGATGGAGGAGGCGCCCAGCGGGGGGCTGGAGGGCATGACTGCAGCAGGCAGAGGAGACAGTCAGGCTGGCAGGGGCCCGGGGAGCAGTCGGGTTCAGGATGTGGTCTGGGGGAGCTGGGCAGGGGACTCTGGGGGGTGCCCCCTGCCCCACCCAGCACCAGAAGCTCCAAGGGGGGAACACACCCTGCCCCACCCAATGCTGGGGGCCATGGGGGGCACACCCTGCCCCACCCAGCACAGGATACATGGTGGCGGCATGCGAGGAAGACCCTGAGAGTATGTGCACAGCAAGGGGCGGGGCTGGGGGCTCCGTGATGCTGTGGGGCAGGGCTGTATCGGGCAAGGGGCCCTGGAGACATGGGACCCCCCCTAGAAGGGAGCCATTCCAATGGGGTTACAGAACAACCTGGGGGTCCAGTGCCCGTCTGCACTCTCTGGGGGCGGAGCCGGGGGGGTAAGGGGCGCCGGTGGAGTCACCCTTGCCCAGGGACTCCCCCATGCAGCCCCCTATGGACGCACGGCAGGAGGTGCCCCCTGCACAGGGTGGCAGTACCCGCCTGTGCCCCTCTGCGACTCACTGGCGTAGGGGGAGTTGGCGGTGGAGCCGTTGAGGAAGCTGGGGGAGCCGGGCACCCCGAGGCCGGTCATGGCCGCCCCCCCGTAGCCGTTCATGCTGGACGTGATGGTGTTGTAGCCGCTCTGCTGCGGGGTGGAGCTGGGCACGTAGCCCCGTGGTGAGACGCTGCTCGTGTTGCGGGCGTAGCCTGTGGGTGACAAGGGGCAGTGTTGGCGGGATGGTTGGGGGGGGCTGCTCCCACCGCCCGCTGACCCTGCTACCTGGTCACAGAGGAGGAAGGAATGCCCCCCCCCCTCGGCCAGGTGCATTATGGGAGTGGACTCCCTGGGCAGGACACGGCACCAGACCCCCTGGCCCATCTGAGACCACGCCCAGTCCTCTCCCCTCCCTGACCCGGGTTCACCACAGAGTCAGACCACCCCCCTGCACCAGAGCCCCCGCCCCGAGGGCAGCTGGCAGGGCCGGGGGACACAGCGCAGGACCCACCCGCTCCCCAGGACCAGCGGGTGGCCCCGAGGGCTGGGCTGGTCCGAACAGGCAGCGCGATGGCCTGGGGGCTGGACCGTGCCCTGCGTTCCCGGGGGCTGGCCTCGCTGCGGGCGCCGCTCAGTCTAACAGGCTCCAAACAGCAGCACAACCGGCCGGTCTGCCCGAATCACCGCGCAGCTCTCGGCCACCCACGGACTCGGCCCAGAACCTGCCCCCTCGCTGCCTGGTCTGCCGGCCCCCCCCAGTGTGACACAAACAGCCCTTTGCACAAAGCATCAGCCCCAGGGGCCACGCGCCTCAGCACTGCAGTGCAGCCACCTCTGGGGAGGGCGCGGCGGCTGTTTAACAGCCACTCAGGCGCAATCTCCTCTGCCAGCTGGCGCCTCTGCCGGCACGGTGCCCCAGGCTGCCAGACTCCTCTCTCCCCTGGGCGCTCGCATGCCCCAGGAAGCTGATTCGCCTGCTCCACATCTTCGCTTGGAGGGTACCGACCTGCCTGGCCTGCCCTGCCCCGCCCCCTGCCCTGGCACTCACAGCACTGGGGCCCCGCGGCTTGGGGCTTTGCCGCAGGGGGAGCGCTGCCCGCCCCCGCACACACCTTGCTCGGTGCCCGGGGCCGAGTCGCTGATGTTGATGGCCAGCTGGCTCCCGAAGGAGTTGACGCCCATCATGCCCGCGTGGGCGTGGTTCCCGGCCAGCGAGGACAGCTGGCTGGGGGTGCGCGGGACGCTGTACAGGGCCTCGGCGATGTCTGCTGCTCGCTTCAGGATGATGTCCTGCAGAGACAGGGACTGCCCGTTACCCCCGGCGGCGACTCGCCCGACAGCTGCCAGGCCGGAGCATCTACCTGGCAAGCCTGGCGTGACCAGGGCAAGGCAGCCAGGCCTGAGGGGCCCACCCCCCACAGCCCGTTCAGACCCTTCCTGCTGGCTGGGGGCACGGGTGACCCCGGCTGCCCGGCCGAGGGGGATGGGGGCTGAGGCCTCCCAAACTTGTGTCATGCAGGCCTGGGACGGGCGTGGAACCAAAGGGGCTTAACAGAGCCAGAGCCCCGGGCGCGGGGAGCTGAGACCAGCGGGGGCTCCTGGGGCTTCGGTTGGCCGGTCCGCCCAGGGGGCAAGCAGCAGAGGCTGGGCGGGGGCCAGGGGAAGTGGCAGCCCCTGCACGCGGGCGGAGGCAGCTCCCGGAGCTCCTTACTCAATGGCCCTGGAATTCCTGATGTGAAGCAGATGTGGGGCTGGGCCCAGCCAGCTCCACCGCCCCTGCCTTCCCCAATGGGGAGGGGAATGGGGGGCAGGGAACAGAGGGGGCAGGGGGATGGGGGGCACACAGTGGAGGGGGATGGATGGGGCAGTGAATGGGGGGATGGGAGGGCATAGGGGGGTGTGGGGGGAGAGGGGGGTAGGGAGTGGATGGGGGATGGACAGGGCGGTGAAGGGGTGGGAGGGCATGGAGAGGTAGTGGGGGGCAGGGAGGGGAGGGCGACGGATCGGGCAGTGAAGGGGTAGGAGTGGGAGGGCATGGAGGAGGTGTGGGGGGGCAGGGAGCTAAGAGGGATGGACGGGGCAGTGAAGGGGTGGGAGGGCATGGAGGGGTAGTGGGGGGCAGG